GTTCTTTACATAAAGCAGCCTGACATATTCAAAATTTTCTCAAAAACAGCTTCAATTTGTTTCTTCAAATTTCTAGTAACAAGAGAGTAAAATACTCTTACGAAGGTGGCATAGGACCAATTTTCACGGATAAACCTGAATTTTCGAAAGTTGCAAGTTAGAATTTTTGCTGCGCCTTTGTACAACTACAAAATTGAAGATATAAATTGTTTCCTCAAATGACATTTGTTGTGCATAATTAGTTCTTTTCATTAAAGTCGGGTTTATTGTTTTAAAAACCTTTTAGTTGTTTTCTCACAAAGTAGCGTGCAATATTTGCCATTTTAAAATAACTACAAAAACAAGATTTTTTCAGAAAACGGGACCAATTTTTTTATAAACATTTGGTAGGGATAGTGCTATATCCACTCTAGAAGATGACAAACTCCACATTGCTCTTCTTTTTTCTCCAATAATTACAAAAATGTTATTTTTGACTTCTCTCACGTCGTTGATGTTTACATTAGGAGCAATTTGTTCACACTAATTATGAGTACATGTGCTTTAAATAATGTCAGATAAAGTTTCTGGACAACTAGCTCGAAAACCCGCATTTTCAGAAACGCTAAAAATTTTCTCAAAAACGGCTTCAAACTTTTCGAACGGATAGTGCTAATTGCACTCTTTAATATGACAAAGTTCATTTTGAAGTATTTTTCGTTTTATCAAAAATTACACATTGAAATTACATTGAATGTCGAATACTTAAACAATTTTGTTAAAAACGGATCCAAATTATACAAAGAAAATTGCCATTTAGAACGAGTATTTTCTGTTCTTTAATATCCTTAAATTAATATTTCGGTTTTACTATTTAGGAATTTATTATTTTTCATTATTTAGGAAACCGAAAAATTAGAATTTTTTTAAATGTACTTTGGGCGGCGATAGATGTCATCTGGCAACAGTGAGGCAAGTACAAATAGATAGCCGAGACCAAAGGAAATAGAAAACTAATACTGGAAAATCCGTGACATCTTGTAGCAATACTAGCTTTTCTTAATTTAGCAATTGCATTTTTCGACTTTTTCGTTATCAGGGCCCGGCAATGAATATTTTTTGTGCAGCATTACATAACTTTCCATATACTATGTATATTATTCCGTATGTACGTAAGTATACGGAAAAATAAAAAAGGGTATGATCACTTTTTCGAAACTACGAGTATTTTTGCGCAAATTTGAAAAATTTTGAAATGGTATATTTGAATTACCCGAGCATTATTCGTGGCCATGTTAATCTGCAAAAGTCGTAAGTTAATCTGCAAGGCGCATGAAGGCACCGTAGGAGAAAATGTTTTCTTACATTCATTTGCGCGAGGAGCAAAATAATATCGACGGGATTAATTTTTGAAGATTTATTACATTGAGCATTTCATCATGGCTTACAAATCTAAGATTTATCTTGATAGATATGCGCGCGGTTTTGCCGACTTTTATTTTAATTTTAGCAGTATACATAACTTTTGCGGGTTCTCACACGCAACCAATCTTTATAAATGAGATCTCTAAGGAAAGAATTTGGCGGAGAGGTGAATTGCACTTTGGCTTTAAAAATATTAAGGATTTGCTGAAAAAAACGCATCTACATTTTTCACATCAAACGCAACTTATAGCATTCGGCCTCATTGTAAAAGTCTATATAGTTAAATAGTTCCTAAAACCTGGAATTTTGAAGCCAAGCGCCTCATAGAAACGTTACACATACCGTAATCTACGAAATAAGATATCATTCGACATTCTATTACATTTTTCCTCGTCCGGCGCTTATCGATACTGCCCAAGACACGGAGACCGTCTTTGACTGCGACATCATGCTTAGATTCCTTCATCTTATGTTTAAACTTTCTATGTATAATCTAGTGCATCCCGTTCAGAGGCAATGCCCTGACGCATCTAAACCGGACGCTCATTTTAATGAAAGAAGACATGATTATTTCGTGTTATCTTGCTAAGGCAATTATTCCTGTAAGTGTAGCTCATATTTTACCGCTGTGGGTGATTCTCCTCCACTAGATGGCGAGATCCGGAGCTAACCTGCATGGCGGGTCACGGAATTTCCCCAACACTGCATGTGAGAGAGTATAAGAAAGGGAAAGCAACGTGCGCGGACCGTGGCCCGTTTGTTAGGGTTCCGCTCCGACGTTCGCCTGGTGGTGATCGGAGAACTACCGATCAAAGCAGCGTTAAAATTGTTACAGCCGTTAAAACTGTCCGGGCAGCGGTTGAATTGGACCCAGCTACCTAGGTAGTGTCGAAAATCCGGCAAACCCGCCAGGACTCGAACTCTAGGACTCCCTGTCAGAGGCACAGCAATGGCATCAGCTCACGCCCGGAGGCACTTCCGACACCGCGGGTGAAAGAGAGCGGGAGAAGGCGCATTTTGATAGCGATAATTGTGGTTGTTAGGTCAACGGGGGCGGTGCGGTAGCGTGTGTGGTGGGAGTTAGTAATTGTGGCGTGATTAGAGTTGATCTCGAAGGCGTGTTAGTGGTAGAGGAGGCGTAGGTAGAGGGTTGCAGCTTTGACGGTGAAGTGGTGGAGATGGTAAATCAATTGCGTATGACACACGTAAGTAAATTCAGGTCTGTTTGTAGTGAAAAGTGGAGGGCAGGAGAACATACAGCAGCTAAATTGTGATATTCTTCCAGGTACGCTTAGGGAAGTGTCACAAAAAGGGCATCTTACGGTCTTGCATGGAATAATGGATCTCTACTGGAATGGGCCAACAGGATGCCCTGAAATACTAATACTTTATCACATTGACCGGTATCACAAATCTATGAAATTACAAGTTTACTACTTCAAACAATTTTACATTTTAACATGAATGTTTCCTTCTTTATCTTAAGTATACGAAAATATGTTAAACAATATTTCAACAACAGTATAGTGAATGCTTATAACTAGACATGGGATGTGTACGTACTAGGGATCCGACATGGATAACAAAACACCAATGTTTCAAAACATCAATGTTCAAAATTAAAACATCGATGTTAAAAAAACATCGTTCAAAAACCATCGATATTTTTAAACATCGATGTTTTTAATCTAATTTAATAGTGAATATACGAGGGTTTATTTAATCCTGCAGCTTGACGTAAATTAGTTGTTCACGGTTTCACCCAATCGAAGCTTGAAGTTCCCCATATGATGTCATGTAGCGTCATATATAAATACATACATACAATATAATATATAATATATATATATATTATATATATATATTATATATATATATTGGATGTAACCCTCATCTGATTTACGTAAAGATCACGACTAAGTAAATCGTACTATAGCTGTAATTTGGCGCGGAGAAAAATTGAATTCGATACTAGTGGTCGTGATGAGGTGCTGATTAAGGTTTAACTGTCTAACAAACTTTAAAAAAAGCATTTAACAAAACTTATTTTAAGAGGAAAAATACAAAAATATGGTTTACTATATTATTTTGTCGACGATACTGCAATTGACACTTGTTTATTTATAACTATTATAGGCCCCAATATTTTTATTGGGAGTCTGCAAAAGCAGTTTGCACATGAATAGCACTGACATCCACTAACTTCTCGTCTTCCCGAGAAACAGTCAAAAGGTCTGAGCGCTCAGTCATATCAGGGATTCAGATCTTCGTCGGAAAGAGAACAGGAAGAGGGGGACGCGCCTCATTTAGGCTTACAGAAAAAATCGAAAACGTAAAACATCGAGCTTTAAACTTCGATGTTTTCATAAAAACATCGAGTTTTACAATTCATCGATGTCGCAACTCTAGTTTGCTCTAAAACTCTACTTTTGGACGCCTAAAAAGGTAAAGTGAATGTAAAGAATTAGGAGATAAAGGCACCGTCAAATGTTACGTACACAATAAAATGAAAAATTGTTTGTAATTTCTGTCTATATTAATTTGTAAATTTAAATGCCGAAAAAAGTGCGTACATTTGAATGTAAAATAAGATTTACATATTTACAACTTTTACATTTTATTCTTACAATACTTTGCATTGCGAGATATTACCACCAACTTTTGAGGGATTGCAATTTCAAATTTGCGACGATCTTCTGTTTGAATGCGGAGAAGGATCTCTCAACATCTACAGAAGTGACTGGCATTTATTTCCGAAATTCAATATTAGCAATACTGGAACCTTCTGGAAAATTACATTTTCACTTAAAATGTCGGTGCCATCGGTAGACTGACATTGATTTCAGAAAACGGATGGTATTTACGAAACAGGGAAATGGAGAAAAATCTGTAGGTATTCTTTCAGGAATTCTCTCGAATTTTAAAAATACAAAGACATGAATTGAAGATTTCATAATGAATGGTCACGTTGGACCACGTCCGATTTTCTAATATCTTAGCATTGTATAAAAAAATAATAAATAAAAAGCAAAAACTCCAGTAATTATAAAAAAGGGTAAAAAAGGTATATGCAAAAAATACATTTATGCTAAAAAAGCAAAAAGAAGCTTTATAAAACTTCGTCATATGTCATCTTTTGGCATGATTCCTGCATATATATTATTAGCTTTCAAATAAGATTGCTAGAATAAAATAGACAAATCCCTAAACATCCGATGTCTACTTATAACACTGTAACCTCCATCATTCTAAATGATGGAAATACAATCGCAAATGGTTTCTTTCGAGAGTATCACAGTCACCGTGACTCAAGGAGCCAATAAAGTACTTTTTGTGTTCTATCTCTTACCACAGTTAATATAAGACGACTCCTCTTGCGGCGGGCAGTGGAAGTTCCTTTACTGGCGGAGAAAGAGGTAGTTGCTGCTTGAGGCCACACCTCATCACGATCCAATGAGGTTAATAAGTTCTCTTTCTGAGACGGCCAGCTGAGGAGATAGTCTTCTTGTCGCGCTATCTCCTCAATACTCGAGATGATCCGGTGAGCATAATACATAGTTCCATTTCTTCCTGTGGCGACTAGAGGAAGCCAGAAGTTACTTCTCAGGCCAATTCTCAAGACGATCCAGCAAGCGTATCACGAAAGTCTTTCTGAGGCAGGTAGTGGGATGCACTGGTTCTCTTGGCCACCTCCGAAGATCCAGCGTAAGACGATGTTCTTGCTTTCTCAGGCGGCCAGAAACGGACACGATAGTTTCTTCTTGTCCGTTCCTAAAGACCTATCCAGTGTAAGACAAAAATTCCTTCAATTAAGGACAGTAGAGGTAACGGCGGGGCGTGCAAAACTCGTCGAGAAGAAGCTATCTTTAATTTTGCATGAGGTGTTTTCCTAAATGGCCCAAGGCCACATCACAACGCCAAAGCATAGCATCTTTTGAAGCCAGAATTGTAGCTGTTAGGGAGTCACCACTTGCCATTAGTACAGTGGGCTCGCAGCCCTTTCCACGCCCGTCACTGCGCCTCGACCTGCCTGGCGTGCACGCGCTTGTGCGTAGCGAGGACGGACCAGCGGGAGAACGCCTTGTCGCACACGTCGCACCGGAAGGGCCGCTCGCCCGTGTGCCTCCGCTTGTGGTTGCGCAGGGTGTCCGACCTGGCGAACGCGTCGCCGCACACGTCGCAGCGATACGGCCGCTCTCCCGTGTGCGTGCGCAGGTGGCTGCTGAGGTCTTGCTTCTGGATGAACGCCTTGCCGCAAAAGCCGCAACGGTGGGGCCGCTCCCCCGTATGCCTGTGCCTGTGATTAATCAGGGTGGATCGGCTCGGGAAGGCCATGTCGCACATGTCGCAGCCGAACCGCCGTCTCTGCGAGGTTCTCCGGGGGGCCTCCGCTTGCACGTTGGCACTGGTCGAGTCACTAAGCGACGCCTGACGGGCCTCGTCTATAACGACCGGTTCTTCGTCCGGGGGCTGGGACGTGCCGTGCAGCTGATGAGTTGGCTGGTCCTCGTCGTCATCTAGTGTAATGATATCTTCACCTAAACAGACATGCAACGTCTTTTAGCAACACATCTCAAGGCTCTGCACTCTCTTGGTACATACAATGACAACGGACCTTGCCGGCCTCCTAGCACTGTCGGCTAACCAACATCGAACTCTGTTAATCTTTCTTCTAAGCGAGGGATATATAGGCATTTGAGGGCGGCTTCGTGAAACAAACACGAATGCGGAGCCTAAGTTGTACATTAAAAGTGACAGACATCCGTCACGAACATGAAATGCCCCTGATAGCGTCAGAACGTGTCCTGCCGAACTTGTGACCACGGGTTTGCCTAAATATCTGGTGCAATAGCCACGTGTAAAAAAATGTAAATAACTGCTCTATGCAATTCCTCGCTGTATGTTCATTGGAGAAAAGTGAACATTTTCGAAAACGCATTTCGCGTATTCGATGGTGTCATATAGTGGAATAATAGTTTTATACACTGTCTTTTAAATACAGATATTCTTAAGAAATTTACCAAATGAGAAAAAAGGGTAAAAAAACAACAACACTGTCTTTTAAATACAGATATTCTTAAGAAATTTACCAAATGAGAAAAAAGGGTAAAAAAAACAACAACTGAACATTGTAGATGAACTAGAAGTTCGTAACATGCATTTTGTTACTATATTATATTACTTACAAAACAGCTGCAAAGTTGCCAAACTGATCCATCACACGCTAAAAACGAATGGGTTTCGAAATAAGTTAATATTTAACGAAGGAAAAACGGTTTCAATATAATTTTGCATTTCAAATCGGCAATTCATGAAAATGAATAATATGCAAAAAACGGATATTAAGGTAACAAAATTTATATATTGTACCCTTAGTGGAAGACTGACAAGACAAAATTAGCATTTTTTAGGAAAAGAATATAAAGATTTTGAGACATTAGAAAAAATAATAAATATTAGATAAAAATGAAAATAATGTATATTAAACTTTTAACATTCTTTAATAATTTATTGTAAATTACAAATACCTTGGGTTGAGTACGCATAGGTTTGTTTGTTGTTGTTTTTTATTTTAAAATAACTTTTTATTTAGGGTAGTTTTCTACTCAGTATTTGTTGAAATTGTAAGGAGTTATTGAGTACATGGCGAACACTATTTTCACACAAATTTATACAAATTTCACAATTTCCATTATTTTAATGGCTGCATTTGTGAATTTTTATTTAACTTTCAATAAATGAACCTACTTAATAGCAACAAACTTAGTACAAAATTATTTCCATTTAACAATTTTGATTTAGAATAAGACCTATCACTTATGCAACAAGTTCCGTGTTACAATGTTCCACTTCGTTTGAGTTTTCTGTAATTATATTTTTATAATAATTATGAAACTGGGAAGGAATCTGGTTAGCATCACATAAGTCCTTCTTGGTCTCAGTTATTCCATGGTGTCTCTGATAAGCCTTTTACAAATTCAAGAATCGTGTTTGAGGATGATCTCTGCATTGTTGCCCAGTACTGATCTGCTGAAACTTTTCACCATAAGCAGTTTAATATTCTAGAATGAACAGTGCATCTTTCCTTGCTTGCAGCTTTGCCAGTCCATACAACTTTTTGTCAATGTTCATTATTGCCGAAGTTGCTACCCATCTGACTAGCTAAATGTCTCAAATCAAAAAAAACTCATCTGTTGTCATGTGCTTGAGTACATATGGATTTCCAGCTGTCTTAAGAGTTTGTATGATTGTATGCACGCGCGGTATATTGCTAGAAAACATCCAAAATTAATAGTTCAGAATTGCGCGAGAGGAAAACTGAATTACATGCTCAATAATTATCATCTTTAGGAGTGGATCTGCCTGCGGTTATTGCTGGGGGGATCGAGTAGCTCAGCAATGCCGTTGCCAGTCCCAAGCCCGGATAAAGGAGGATGGTTCCCGCGTGAGGCCAGCGACCTGTCCGGGGTAAAAAGGATAGAAATGCTCATAGAACAAAGGATAAGCCTCGGAATACGATTAATAAGACGAACATGGCACGAACAAGGACATCGAAATGGAAAACAGAAAACATACTGAGACTGGGAACGTGGAAAATTAGATCATGGAACACAAGCTATCATGAAATTCTAATGGAATTAGATAGACACAACATAGATCTATGCTGCCTTTCAGAAACAAACAAACAAACAAACAAAAAGTAGAGGCATAACACAATTAAATAATTACACACTTATCTAAAGTGGAGTACAAAACTTCTCAAGAGCAAAGGAAGGAGCAGAAATCATAATAAACAATAAACATCTCGATAAGATAATAGACTACAAGTACATATCAGAAAGAATTGTTACAATGAAATTAAGATCTAAAACAAAACCAATAAACAATCTCAGTCTATGCCCCTGGAAATAACAAGCCTACACACGAAAGACAAACTTTCTACGAGGACCTACAAGAAGTTATACACCAGACAAATCCAGAGGAGACAACTATAATAGCAGGCGATCTTAACGCAAGAATTGGAAATGACGTTATCCCTGGCATAAAAAACAGATTCAATGAAACGCACCTAAATGAAAATGGAGAACTGCTCATCGAGTTCTGCTTGGATAATGAATTAAGAATAAATAATACCTTCTTCCATCACAAGGATCAACATAAATACACATGGGAAAATAATAGGGGCACCGAACCACAATAGATTATGTGATAACGAAGAGAATGTGTCGCCCATCAAACATCTTAGACATAACAAGCGCAGATATTGGAAGTGACCATAATCTGGTGCTAGCCAAATTAAGAACGACACTTAAACGGGAAAAAACAACACCCAGGGTTACAATATCAAAAATTAATATCCAATCCCTTCAAGATGGGTCAACACAAAAACTTTATAGAGATCGCTTAGACGAAAGAATCAATAACGACGGAATTAGAGAAGATGATATTGAGACAGCCTCGGAAAAAATAAAAACTAATATACTCAAGTCAGCGGAAGAAGCATTAGGAAAACTTAACAGAAAAAGTCAACAGAAACTAAGGTGGAATATACCATGGTATACAGAAGAGGTTAAAGAATTAACTAGGGAGAAACTCCAAGCATTTTTTAAATACAGTCTAAATTATTATAAGACTATGAAGTATACAAACTTATAAGAAATCAAGTAAATATAAAGATCCGGAAAATAAAACAAAATTATTGGGAATCATTTACTGCAAGAATGGAACACGACTTTTGTGACCTGCAGAAACAGATATGGCGTTTCATAAGAAATACACGCTCTGAAACACACGAGTTGATAAACACAACAAAAAAACAGTAACACGGAATGGGTGGAATATTTTAGTAAGCTATTTCATAATAACGAGGCTCCAGTATTGGATATAGCCGACACACTAACACAAGACTATGAGATCTCAGAAGAACAGATTATACAAACGATAACCAAATTAAAAAATAGGAAATCACCCGCAGAAGATGGCATTTATAACGAACTATTAAAATACGTGGGGCAATCATTACATAAAGAATTAGTAAAAGGGATACAAAATATATATAGGTAGAGTAAAATACCAGAGGAATGGAAAACGAGCATTCTAATCCCCCTTTTTAAAAAAGGGGACAAGCTAGACCCAAACAATTATAGGGGAATTAACCT